GCCTACAGTAAATATCCCGTTCATTACTACAGATTTACTTATCAGTTGTTGGATATTAACAAGTTAGCATATCTTCTAGACGCGGCTACACTGTTCATCTCTCTCATTGGTGGGGGTGCATTGGGGGTGGAGAAACCTTGTAGAAATTTCCCTATTTCCTCGTTAAATATTTCAGCTTAACAACTTTCACAAAATATTGCAACAACAATCCAAAGTATGAATGCAGGTCATTATTTAAAGACGTAAGGGGGTACAAATGAAAGAATCTAAACTTGACAAGCTTTTCCAATACACTGAAACAGACGTTAACTACATGAGAGCATTATCTTTTTCTCTATCTTCTCTCTTTCTCTCTCTCTCTGTTTCTTACATTCTCGCTTTCTTTCGTCTTACACCTCAAAAGCGCTGAAATTCTCTTATGATCACCGAAGTTAAGCAACGTCGACCCTAGATGGGTGACCGCTTGGGAATACTAGATGTTCTAAGCTTTGATATGCGAATGTTGCAATAGATAATGGCTCGAAATGGTTAATCGGAGAGCCGAGTTCCAATTCCAGTTGGGTTCGTTATATTCAGTTCGGCGCAAATACCCTTGGGAAAGGTATGGCTATGAATAACTCCCCCCACCCAACACCGATATCAATTAATTATTAGTTAATTAGTAATATGTGCATCACTAAAGCATTATTGGCTCCCAAAAATTCTTACAATCTAAAAATATTTTCTGGCTTTAATTAGCCTCCAGACGACTTAAAATCTGAAGAAAACGACTCAATCAATTCTTTCACTCTTTCTTTTTTCTTCCTTTCTTTCTTTTTTTCGTTCTTTCTTTCTTTTTTTCTGCCGGTACGTCATTCTTTCTTTCTTTCTTTCTTTCTTTCTTTCTTTCTTTCTTTCTTTCTGTCGGTCCGTCATTGTTTGTTTGTTTGTTTGTTTGTTTCTTTCTTTCTTTCTTTCTTTCTGCCGGTCCGTCATTCTTTCTTTCTTTCTTTCTTTCTTTCTTTCTTTCTTTCTTTCTTTCTTTCTTTCTTTCTTTACCTCACTGAAACCAAACAGCGCCTCGATGCCTTTTCCGTCTGTCCTCGAGATCAAATCGGAACAGTCCATTATCCTTTAAGCATTGACAGGGCGTAACGGATACGCTAATTAATTAACTAACTAACTAGTTAAGAAACAAACAGAATAATAATATAATAATGTTATAGTCATCCCACCTCTGATGGCGTCGGGCAGTGCCGGTCGCATCCTCCCTAATGACGTTACTAAAAGAATACATCATGCCTAAAAAACATTTAGTAAATATAATGGTTCTTCCTTGGGAATACTAAATTAAGACCAAGGAACACGCGTTTTTTTTTTTTTTTTTTTCCTTTGAGATAAAATTTACGCGGAGAAATATAGAACATGTACAGGTTAATATAAATGACAATACAAGAACTAATTTATGTCTTGAGAAATGGTTTTTCGGTTGAGGGCGCCATCTAAGTTATCGGAAGACTTCAACGTCACTGAACGGAAATTGAATTTAGCAATTTGCAAATAAAAGGAAATGGATTTGGGATGAGGTGGCGGCGTCTGGTTGCGCGTTAAACGCTCGGGAAAGTAGAAAGCATGGAATACCATCAAGAATATCAAAGAAGGAGATTATCTATCATAACTGAAGTAATGAAATCTTTGTCATAATGTTTTAATATGGACCTAGCTTCGCCTATCTATTAAACATTCCGATCTGTTCCTATCAACTTATTTGTCCCGTTTGTTGACTAAGACAGATGTGTATTGGTCTTCATATCTTTAAAAAAAAAAAAAAGCTAGTAGATTGATGTACTTGTAAAATCAGCGATTTCTGTATCGTCTGTGTAGATTCCATGGTGGTTGAGGTACGCCTGTCTTAATAAGCGTTAATAACTATCTTCAGAGACCTAGCTGTTACGATCGATTTTTATAAATGAGAAGAGCCTTCCAGCGGTTCCATATCTGGAGAGATTGTGTAGCAAATGTTTGTGTCACACCTTGTCGAAGGCCTTCGAGATATGCTATGGTCCTCGAGGTGTGTTTGTGTTATAACTGACGTACCTATTCTATTATTAATAGACTCTCCCACACATAATAAGTAGTAGTAGCGGTCGCCAGTGGGGCTCAGTGGTGTTCAGCGAGTCAGTCGATATCGGACATTGAAGTACCAACCATTACAACTAGATTGCTGCGTCATTAACTCTTATTTCCAAGTTCCTAACGTTTTGTACGTCGAACCTAATTTAGGACGATTTATTGAAATACAAAACTCCACTGTGAAAACTACTCTACAACAGTTTGCCGTCAAGAACCTCAGTAATTTGGTGAGTAATGGTAGCTTGAACGTCAGTTGTGAATCGGGCCGTTGAAGAGGTTGTTCTTATTTAGGTTGTTGTGGTACGATCCACCTAATTTACATAGTGGAGTACCGACCGATATAAATATGGGTTGGTACCGGAAGACGAAAGAAGTAAGAAGAGATCGAATCGAGAGACTCTGCCCGACTGCGATTAAGTCAACCCATTCTACAGGAACAGTCTTCCCAAGAATATACCAAAACTAACTGTAAATATTGTGTACCTTTTCCTTGTTTCAATACATTTTGTTTACGTACATTTTGTGTTGTATTATTATTATTCCATGCTTATCCAAGCTTCAACATAGGTGCTCGATGACTTTCTCGTTGATTATAGCCTCAAATACGTACTGATGATACTGGTGGGTTTATACCGCGAGAGGGAAAATCGCTCGTCCGCGTTCTTGAATACAGGGCATACGCTTGACACTTTCCACAGGTTTGGAAAGGATTTCTCCTTCAAGCAACGGTTGAATAACTTCGCTAGGATTGGGGATAATTCCGGGTTTATATTCTTAAGGACAACCACTGTCCAGTGGTTTTCTTAGGGTCAAGGCCTTTGATAAGTCTCGAGACTTCTCGTGCTGTAAAGGTAATATTACTGAGTTTATTCTCAATAAAACGTGGGAAGCTAGGGAGGGGATGGTCTTTGTTGTATAATGCTGAGTTTGCCGCAAAGAGGTTCGCCTTTGTATGTCGAGGAATATATGACCTCAGGGCAGTTTATAATTGTGGGCACAGCCGCTTTATCTCTGTCCATGATAGAGTTCGTAATCTTTCAGAATTCACGGAATCCAATTAGTTTTTTTTTCAACCTTGTCCTGGACTGCTTGGGTGTAGCAGCATTTAGCGTTTTCTAGAACTTAGAAAGGCAGTTCTAAATGCAGTAAGGGTCACTGGAGAGCTTGTGTAGTAAGCCTTTGTGCCACACCCTGTCGAAGGCCTTTGAGATATCTAGTGCTATGGTCCTCGAGATGTGTTTACCCTCAAGAGTCTCACTGATTCTGTGAGTGTTGGTAGTTAAAACGTCGGCAATGAATAGGGCAGACCGAAACCCGTACTCTTCGTCGCTGAAGAGGTTGTTCTTTTCTAGGTGCTCGACAACCTTATTGATTATGGCCTGAAAAAGATTACTGATAATAATTAGGAGACTGATGGGGTCTGTGTTGGGAGAGGGAAGATCGCACGCCTGTTTTCTTGAAAACCGGGCATACGCTTGACATTTTCCACAGGCTTAGGAAGGATTTCTACTTCAAGCAGCGGTGGATTATCTTTGCTAGGATTGCGGATAATTCCGGGTTTATATTCTTAACGACAACTACTGGAATTTTGTGTGAGCCATTGGCCCAGGAAAAAAAAATGAACACAGCATAGGCTGTGCCAGCGTTAGTTTCACCCAACACCGCAAATTGCTTATAAAACCAAATCATCAACCTAAAAACTCGAGTCATTTACTTAAATAGCCTTATCAGATCGAGATTTTCGTATAGATGTCATGCATGGTGCCAAATCCGTTGAGAAATATCTAAACTATGAGTTGTATACAACTGTTTTCTAAGATTAATGGTTAAAAAATACTTTGAACGAGTGAAGCCTGCAGTTATCGGCAAAGATCATCCTTCTTTGAACATTGTGAACTGGCGCTACAGATTCTTTACTTTATTAAATAAGAAGAGAAGTGACATCACTCGAGGACTACCAGCAACTAAAATGGATATCACACACAATAACATAATCCAGATGTTGATATTCCACACGACTTTAAATAAAAGGTTAGGAAGGAAACCCCATCAATACTAGAAAGAGCAATAACAGCTACTGGCTTAAAAAAAAAAACAAAAACAAAAACAAAAAAAACTATTTTCCTGAAAAATTGTTGTAAAAGAAAGATTTTATAAAGTTTAACCGAAAAAACTACTGGCTGCTCGATCAGTGAATGCCAAAAAGTTTCCTTATAAGGAAACGGCTAATATTACAATTACTATTAACTATGATGTGCACTCGGAGAGCCATAAGCACCTCAAAGAAATATTAATAAATTAGTGATATAAAGAAGATGAAAAAAAAAAACGATGTCAGGCAAGTTGTAAAAATAGAGCAAAGTCTATTGAGGGAAGTAGTTGCATACCAGAAAGTGTTGCTGTCATGTGACCTTCAAGAGTAAATCACGAGGGTGGAAATCTGGTGGGGAGAATTATCAAGATAGTGGCGGTGAGGTTTATTGATAGAGAGAGCCATTAAAATTTGTACTGGAAATTGTGATGTTGATACTGTTGACGATGCTGATGATGTTACCCTGTAATTACATTTTCTTCTGACACGTGATCCCGCAGAAATATGTCAGTAGGGCTTATGTGTTAATCCATCCATTGTGAAATAAGATGACAGTATAACTATCTCTTACATACGCGCGCGCATACTGAGACTCTCTCTCTTTCTTTCTCTCTCCCCTCTCTCTCTCTCTCTCTCTCTCTATATATATATATATATATATATATATTCTTATCTATATCTATGTAACGCCGAGTACACTGTGTTTGCATCCCTGTTGTTTTTTTCGTTAAATTAACAACCGACCTAAAACAAGACTTCAAACTAAAGAATAATTACGTATTCAGATAGGAATTGTATGTATATATGTCCGCTATCTATCTATCTATCTATCTATCTATCTATCTATCTATCTATCTATCTATCTATCTATCTATCTATCTATCATTTGTTCATATCTATTTGTTCATATCTATCTATCTATCTATCTATCTATCTATCTATCACTGCTTATATATATATATTCATATCTATCTATCTATCTATCTATCTATCTATCTATCACTGCTTATATATATATATTCATATCTATCTATCTATCTATCTATCTATCTATCTATCTATCTATCTATCTATCACTGCTTATATATACACACACACACATATATATATATATCTGTTCATATCTATCTATCTATCTACCTATCTATCTATGTATCACTGCTTATATCTATCTATCTATCTATCTATCTATCTATCTATCTATCTATCTATCACAGTGCTTTCATATCTATCTAGAGGCAGAAATATAGATGCAGATATATATGTTTATATTGTAACAAGGAGAGAACGATGGCTGGTTAGAATTTTTCCTAAGCCTTTACTGCCTAGTTGCGATCTCAGAACTGACACGCCTTGGCACAGCAGATCTAGTTTTGTTCAAAATTATACAGAGTGAGTCCGTTCTGATTTCTTTATTTACGTTTTGTTTTTTGTTTTTTGCGAGATCATAACGAAAAAGAAGCTTTGTCAAAAATGAACTAGAGACAATTTTGACAAAACGCAAAAACAGCAAAATTTCCACTTCGAATCGTATAACAAAAATGCCGCCTGAGTAATACAAAAGTAAGTTCTATAGGGTAGGAAAAGTCATACACTAGGACCTGTACAATTGAATTCAATCGTATCAGGATAAAGCATAAGTTATCCTGAAAAAACAAAAGACTCTGGGACATGACGTTTCTGCTATTATTAAATAAGAAGACGACGAGATTTTCCTAGAGTCATGGTCAGTGAATCGAGAACAATTAAGATTAGATAAAGGATCTAGTTAGAAAAGTCCTTGAAGTTTACAAGCATCCGAAGACCAGAAGGCACGACGGCCAAAACGTTGTACTAAAAACAACAATAATGAGGACAATAATCTGAGTGAAAATATGGTATTTAATAAAGTCGTGCCCATAATAGAAGGCCCACTTTGCTCAAAACAATGGAGTCAAGTTGGAAATCCGAGAGTTTTGGAACTGTAGAGCGTATAGGGCTATTCGGGGTCGACGATGATACTAAGAAAGTTTCTGTCATCCCATCTTTTACAAGAGGTGCTTAAAGAATCTAATGTATGATTGTGTAAAACAGTTTAAAATAATTTATTTAATAATATGAAATTTTATATACCTCGGTGATTATTCATTATATTGTAAATATATATATATATATAAAATTTTAAATTGTTAATTTTTAATTTTATAGTATAATTTAATATTTATTAGTTAGAATGAATTCTAATATTAAAGCATTAAATAATTATTATAACCAAAGTTCGTTGTCAAGTTTTTTGAATTATCATATACTTGTATTTTGATTGGTCATTCCAGCCTATGTAACAGCGTTTTCCCTAGTGAGGGGTTTTTGATTGATTTGAACCTTTTAAAACCCTTTATTCTACATTCAACATCATCACTTGATAAGACACCAGAGGTGTTGAAACAAAATGGTTATTTTTGTAGTGATTTTATAACATATTTATGTTATAATTTTCGAATAAATAATTATATATATATATATAACATTAGGCAGCATATATTTATATCACACATAGAATCAATCAGCAATATTAATGCTATTATTGGTGATATCCATCGCTAGTAGTATATAATGTATGCATTAAAATACTGTTAATCCAGAGTATGATGTGATCCTCATTTATAAAACTGTTGTCTGTTGTTTCCAGTTTATATTTTTTTAAAATGCTAGTACTTTCGAATAATCCTTTATTCATCCTCAGGCATATTTTTTCCCTTTAAAATTAAAACTTGAAGACGAAATAATTGTTTGTAGACCGAAAGATGTTTTTTTTGAGAATGTGCTATTATTGACGGTTGTGTACAATATCGGAACGTGCAAAGACGCAACGCTAAGTTTTTTATTTGAACTTTTCTTGTGATGTGGTAAATCCATGTATTCTATTTTTACAAGTGTTTTCAGTTAATATGTCATGAACTAAATATATAGTTCAATTAATATAGTGTTATGTCTTAGTAGTTTTTTTTTAAGGAATTTCGTCTCCAAGTTTTAATTTTAAAAGGAAAAAAAATATGCCTGAGAATGAATAAAGGATTATTCGAAAGTACTAGCATTTAAAAAAAGCCTCGCCTGCTATCCTCTTCCGACACATGTATGGGGTGCGCCGTACTGTTTGGGAACCACTGCAACTTAATAATACGGATGCATTTTCCAAGACGAGTGATGATGATGACGTGGAGGAGGATTATGATGGATGAAGTCGTTGATGGTGATGCTGATTGGATGCAGTTTCAAAAGTATTATTGCATCCTGAGACTTTCTTGTAACTACTGTGGCTATTATAGCGAATGGTCAGGTTCAGTAATTATGTTACTATCTTTGCAATTGATCGGAAGAGACTCAAAATTTGTTTTCTTTAAATGATCTCAAAAACGGGCGGTTTTATTATTGGCTTCATTTTACTAAGAGATAAACATATCAAAAGGGTTACATGATCTATAAGCGTAACATCTTATATGCCCACCGCACTATCTATCTATCTATCTATCTATCTAAGTCTGTTCATATCTATCTCAGTTTAATGATTTCTATTTATATCTATCTCAATCTGTTCCTATCTATCTATCTATCTATCGCTGGTTGAAGCAATCGGACGTTTAGCCACACTGAAGTGCTGTGATAAAGCGAAACAGTCTGTGGATGACAATATATATATATATATATATATATATATATATATATATATATATATATATATAGATAGATAGATAGATAGATAGATAACTAGACTCGTTTCGAAAAAACCCTCGAATTTTTTATTTGCTAATCAAATCAATCTCAAGGAAAAAAGGTTTTAAAAAAAGAAAGAGCTACAAACATGAACTTCTGCCGACAAAAAAATCGCACAGATGCAGGTCTGAAGCCCAAAAAAAACCCCGATACGAGTAACAACTAACTAACAAAAGAGCTCAATACAACTCAATATCTTTCACGGTCTCTTCGTATCTATCTCAGTCTGTTCACGTTTACCTCTGTCTATATATATATACATATATATATATATATATATATATATATATATATATATATATATATATATATATATATAGGGGTTTGAAATTTCGAATCGAACCCTTTGTTTCGTCTAGATTGTTCTAGTTCCACGTATCATACCTCTTTCAGGGTGTTTCAGTTTGGTGCACCACTGCTGTGGCCTTTTCTTGAACTCACGACTCTTTGGGTCTAGTTGGTCGGAGAGTACTACGGCCGAAACATTGTGAATATGACAATGAATCTCTGTTTAAACTTGTTGGAAAATGATTGGATAAAAGCGTTAGTTAGGTGGACGAAGTAAAGGGTTTGGTTCGAAATGGCAATGAAGATGAGAATGACGGGGTGAATAATGCAAATCGTACAAGTAATCATAATACCTCATCTCAGAGATATAGGCAGATATCTAGAAATCCTTGACAAAATCAGAAGAACATCTGTAATATTATTGGTCCTGGCCTGGCATCTCGGCTTCAATCACTTTCTCACCGCCGTAACGTAGCATTCCTGTGCCTTTTCTATAAATATTCACATGGCAATTGTTCTAATGAGCTCTCTTCTTTGCTATTCATTGGGGTTAGATTGTTAAATTTGTTGTTTTATTCCCCTCTTCCACATACAAGGAATTGTACATATGTGGACTAGTTAGGCCTTTCATCGAGACATTGCGGTATCATGGTGGATGTAGTATAATTGGCCACTCATATTCGAGGATACCCGTCTACAGAGCCCACCTGTGGTTTATAAAGCAACTATGTTGAGCAAACCTTAGTTACAGTTTCTGGGAAAGAGCGTGTTATTTAATGTGATCAACAGTGTCAACAAGGCCAGCACGCTCAAGCCCTCGGCCGCGATGACTTGTTACTTCGTGCTAACACAGCTATCGACGGTCCCCAAAGCTTCCGCTACACAATTTCACTCACAAGGCTTGGGTCAACCCGTGGTATGGTTTTCATGCACTTTGCAAAGCTGCCGCATACTAGGATCGACCCCCTCCAGTCCGATAACATCAGGAAGTCTCCTTCCCGACAAATCGACTATGGTTAGATTCGAACCCGGGTCTCATTGTCAGATTGCGAACATTCTAACCGCAAAGGTGGATGTAGTAAGAAAGGTAAGTAAGAATGCGTTGTTGTGGTTTAAGGAATATTGTTATATATTTGGGTCAGTGTTTGCCGCTAGCTAAGTTTAATATTAAAACAGAAGAAGACCATCCTTTTCTCCCTTTCTTGGCCTTGTGCCACATTTTCTGTAAATAAACAGGAATAAATATCGCTCTCTTTTTTGTTATCTCGACTTCACGAATTTAAGTGCAGCTAGGTCCCATAATTTTGCTGTCGAAATTGCTAGATGCAACCGTAAGTTCTGTTCTAATGGCTTCTTCTCTCGCACTTCTTGTCTGTGGAACTTCTTTCTTTCAGGTCAACTTTGATCTTTAAAAATATCAATTCAACGTCAGTCATCGTCTTTTGTCTCTTAGAAATTTGTTCTTTTTATTGTCCTTTCTCTTCAGCGCCGTTTTCTCGCTTTCCTTCCCTCACAGTAACCCTCTTGTGAGTGGCTTTATCGCCTTGCTTGGGGTGAAATGTTTAAAGAAGAAAGCGATAGTTAGGTTTGCATTGCTCAACTGTTGAGTAGGTAATATGCCAATTTTAAAAGAGAACAGCACTTCTCTGTTTCTCGGTGCACGATCATATTTTGATGGATCTGATTACCTTCTTAAATGTCGCCATTCTATTCACTCTCCACTCCCCCACACAACCTGACACGTGCGCCTATACACGCAACCATACACCCAACAACGGGTTTAACCTTTATTTTTGATGTCACGTGCCGCCATTCGTTTCAAAGACTCTTTTCTTATTAACTCTGTAACTTGATCGGCGCAAGTGCAGCAAGCAATTAGCACAAACGTAATTAATATCAAACAGATATCATAGGATGTCGTTTTTACTAGCGCGGTAAATTTAGCCGGCATTGAATTAAATTTGTAGAATTATAAATACTTTCTAGTGTGCCAAACGGTTTATACACCTGGCTCAGGGTTTAATGTTTCAGCAAAATCCAATACCTTAATACCTGTTAAGAAAGAAAATCTTTTTGTTATTGTCGGTTCGAAAAAAAAAAAAGCCAATTTTCAGACAAACGATCGCGCATGCGTGATTCGACTTTATTTAAAAGAGAAATATATAAATGAATACAAAACAAAATAATGGGCGGAGGAAAAACGAAATCAAAGTGGTTCCTCGCTGTAAATTAAGGCGTGGATTTTGACGATTGCCACCTACGTGAAACCAAAGCTTTAAAAAAAAATGAATATTTATTAGTAGTATAAATGCGTTATAAATCTGTTACATCGAGTAGCGTTTTATTACCACCAGCACTCATTGTCTGCTACATATATATATATATATATATATATATATATATATATATATATATATATATATATATAAAACTCAGTAAATTTAAAAATAAGCTATTCCCAAACTCAGTAAATTTAAAAATAAGTTATTCCAAAATTCGCTTGAAGATGAAACAGAACTAATGCTTTTAATTTAATTATATAATTAGATTTGAAGTTTTTAGCTTCGGTTTTGAAACATGGTAATTCCTGTGTAGCGAAGAAATCATATTTTAAATCAGTTAATTTATAATATTTATGCTCAGTAAAGAACACCGGATTATATATCTTACTGTTCTTTCTTTTTTATTATATATATATATATATATATATATATATATATATATATATATATATATATATATATATATATATATATATATAATTCTATTAATAAGAACTGTATTTATTTCTCTATATCCTTAGTAACAGGAAATTATCGCTTTATATGTGCGTTTAAATCTAAGTAAATTTAAAAGTAAGATATTCCAAAATTGCTTGAAGATGAAACGAAACTAATGCTTTTAATTTAATTATATAATTAGATTTGACGTTTTTAGCTTCGGTTTTGAAACATGGTAATTCCTGTGTAGCGAAGGAACCATATTTTAAATCAATTAATTTATAATGTATAGGATAAAATATAGTTTTAAGGTATGCTATATTTATGGGTGCTCAATATCAGGGATATAGCATATGTAAATATAAAAGTCAACACACAAAGGCGACAGTCTGTTTCTTGCTTAAAACGTAATTGTCAAGCCTGGCTGGCGCCTCTGGGTGTTGAATCAATGTCCATTTTTATATCTACAAATGCTTTATCCCAGATATTGAGCACTTTAAGCCATAAATATAGCATACCTGAAAAGTATATTTTTTCGTATTTACCTCCTGATAAAGAGTAGAGGTATATATATATATATATATATATATAAGTGAACATAGAAGTCAACACTTAGAGGCGACAGTCTGTTTTCATGATTTTCTAAAATAAATATAATTTATTATACAAAGAATAATTTAATCTTTCCTATAAATTTTAACGATAAATTTTTATTAAGTTTGGTGCATTTTTTCATTATGTTTGGTCATTTTTAACATATATTAGGAAATAATTATAATACATACATATATATATATATATATATATATATATATATATATATATATATATATATATATATAATATTAGGGATACATATATATATATATATAGTGGAGATAGAGATATATAGATATATAATATTTCTTATATATATATATATATATATATATATGTATATATATATATATATATATATTGCATATATATGTATATATATATGTATATATATATATATATATATTGCATATATATGTATATATATATATGTATATATACTGCATATTATATTATTAGACAGACTGTTTATATATATATATATAAATTTTTTGAAAGTAAGAATTCACTCTCTCTCTCTCTATATATATATATATATATATATATATATATATATATATATATATATATATATATATATATATTGTGTACTGAACAGCATCCCTATTTATAAAAATTTCTTTTCTGGACAAAAATTATGTAGAAATTGTCTGAATAATCTTTATGTCTAAGCGCTTTCAGCCATTCTCTTAGCCATTATCAAAGATGATTTTTATTTTTTACATTTAACTGAATGTATGGATTTTTAAAATTGTTTTTGTATGTATTCTAGTGTTACAAGAATGTTCTATTTTCTGAACACGGTCAGCACATAATACCCATGTTCCATGTTGATGTTATTTAGTGTTGGCTTTTTCTATTTTATTAATAATGCTTCCATTATATTTTAGTCTTTTTTACATGTAAACGATGCAAATATACTTGTATTTTTATACTAGTGTGCTATGCATGAAGTTTAGTAGCTCTCGTGACTATTGAAATGAGACCAAATTGAACTATGGTCAAAGAGAGTCTTCTTGTTAGGCATGTTGTAGTATATACAATATAATTATTTACGAATTTGGATTGATCAGGAACACAGTTCCTTAAGTGACATGTGATTTCGCAAATAATATTGGTTCTCTGCAAATTGGATTTTGTAGGTGAATTATTTTGGTGCACGATGAGGTTAGCAGTTCTAATTTTATTTATATACATAGTTTAATTTTCTTGTTTTTGTCGACTGGAGTTGTATATTTCTTTACAATTT